GCTCACAGGGCATGTCCGTGCAATTTTTAAACCTGCGTATGCGATGTTGCACAATAAACTGCCCGGCGACGGACTGTTCTGTATGCGACACCAATGTATTAAATTCCCCTTCTTCATTCCTGATCTGGCCTTTTCTTTTGTTTGTTTTTTTGCCAAAAGGCAGTGATCTCTTCCTCCTCCATTGATGCCATGACAGAAATGGTGAGAAATGAAGGAATTTGGAACGAGCGAATTAAAATCAGGTCCAGCATGGCTGCAGGAGGGTCTGGAGATTTCCTGGTGGGCCGCTATGATGGTTGGGCTGCAGAGCCAGTGCTCCCTGTTTTTTTATTTGTTAGAACTTTTTATCAACAACATATAAACACAGAACACCGCTGCGGCTGGAGCAGCCAGCTCTTTTTTTTTTTTTTCGACCTGTCAATCAATCCAGTAGGCGTGTCAGCAAATGACTAATCAGCTACCTCAATTTGTCCCTAAGGTAAACGGCCCTTGTCTGCGGAGCTGCTCTGCAGCTGCTCAGGGTGGACGCTCGAGCATGAAGTCTCAACCCTCTGAGGACAGTGCGCACAGTTTCTGCATGGCTGACAGGACGCGGGAGTATACTGGAGCCTTAAGGAGCATTAAGTGTAGAACCACTAGACTGAGGAACATTTTCTACCCTGAGGCTGTTAAGACTCATGAATCTCTAACCAGAGAATAATCACTGTGAAAAACCACATCATGTTGCTGCTGATCTGTTTCATGTTGCTGCTGATCTGTTTCATGTTGCTGCTGATCTGTTTCATGTTGCTGTGTTCATTCGTACTCATCTGCTCACACAGACTTGTGTTCGTGCTGCTGGTCAACGTGATGTTTTTATTGTTTTTATGCTATTAGTGCTTAGCGTATTTTTAGTTGATGTTTTTCTTAGTTCATATATTAGATCTTATTACCGTTTTTCTTTTACATTTTATTGTGGGATGTAACTGGGACCCTGTGTACATAATTTCATTCCACCACATGTACCACATGTGGTGCGAACTGTGCTCGACAATAAAGAAATTATATATATATATATATATATATATATAT